AGGAGGAGGCGGGTGGTTGTCGGTAGTAGGGTTGTTAGGTCGGCGGTGGCGGTGCTCATCAGCGCCGCTGACTGGGCTGATGCTGCTGCGTGCTTTGAGGGCGTGCCTACTGGCGTATGGCCATTCGTCTTTGTCGTTGTCGTCGTCGTAGACACCGTCGAAGAAGAATTGCCGAGCTTGATGGAGACGATACTCGGGTTCAGGAGGCTCTCGTCCTGAAAATGCACGCGCGAAGCGATGAGGAGCTTGGAGAACTCGCGCGGGCCGTGGGTGCGCGCCAGGATGGGCGCCGTGAAGCGCGGCCAGAGGGCGTCGCAGCTGTGGCGGCACGAGGGCAGGGTGCGGGACGCCGACGTCGTGAGGGCGTCGCAGACGGCGCCGACGAAGCGGGTCCACAGGAAGTTTGTGTCGTCTTGCGTCGTGGTCGGGGTCGGCGGCGGCGGGGACGCCGAGATGATTTTTATGAATTCCTGCTTGGTGTAGTTTGGGAATTGGATGTGTGGTACGAAGGAGATGCGGAGGCTGGAGGGGGGAGGGGCGGTGACGATGAAGACGCAGGTTAGGCATGGTATCTATGTAGCAACATGTCAGTATGCCATGATTGAGCGCGTGGGGGGTGCTTGGTCACTCACCACTTCGGATAGCCGTGCTAATGCTGGGAGGAGAGTTGCGGGAGCGTCTCTCTGACGGTCAATTGCGTCAAAGACAAGCACGAGGCGCCACCCGTCGGGTCGTTGTGTGTATTTGAGCATCTTGCACAGCTCAACCATCAATTGGGCCAGTGTCTCGCACTTCTTGGGCGGAGCCTTCCATTGTATCGCGTCCACCACGGCAGCGATTGTCCGCTCGAACAGATGCCGCCCCGTGATGCATTGTATGGAGTTAACGATGGCAAAGCCGAGAGAGGTTTTGGGTTCGGCCCCGGGTTCTTCGTCGAGGGGTTTGGAGAGGTTTTGCAGGAGAGACTCGACGATGGCTGACTTTCCGGTGGCTTCGGTACCGTAGACAATGAGGTTCCGGCAGGGCGCGGCGGCGGGCTGAAGTGTCGAGGTCAATGTTTGGCCTTCACATAGAGTTAAGCAAAAGATTGGCGACTTACATGGAGAAGAGTAGCTAAAGACCGGATCTGACGTTCGCGGCAGGGGAAACGTTCGAATAAGGGGGATAGGAGAAGCTCCTCGGGAAGCTGGAAGAGAGACGCCATGTCAATTGGGTCAATTGCTCTGGCGTTCGAGCCTTTTAGTAAGTATCAACTCGAAAACAGCGTCCGTCACCCGGAGAAAGAAAACCGGGGAAACGGGCCGGAAACCCAAGACCGCCGTGTCGCGTACGAAGGTACGGAGTACATGGGGAGGAAAGGACCTGCAAGCCGTTGAGACGCGAAATCATGTGACCGGAGCATCGGCCCATCTCGGGCCCCTCTTACGGCGGGCGCAGGGGACCAAAATGGCCCGCGTGCGTTGGGACCGAGGCGCCCTGTGCCGGGCGCAGCTCCACTTCTTGAGACTTGACCACACTCAGTTTTAGCTCGTCTGCGGCAGTGCGGCCTCACAGCTCACAGCTCACAGTACCGGTAACTTCTCAAGTCACAACTCTCTCTGTGTGTCTCTCTGGCTGGCCCCCTCCTTCACTCACCCGCAACTGTGCGCCAAGTGTCAAATGTCCACGTTCCCCAAAGGTCAAACAAACATGTCCGTATCCAAACCCAGTCCAGCGCCCAAAAGGGCAACCCACGGAGGGTTGACAGCAGGGAGAAGGGTAATGCGGGAGGCGCAGTGCTTTTACGGATACACAGTACCCTTCTTCCCGACCCTTGGAATGAACAAACTTGTGTGTGTTGCCGGGTTCTAAGAGGCTTGCGCAAGCCTCTTATCCGTACTTTTTCTCTTTTTGCTGCCGCTGCACATGCTTCGTGGCCCTCGCGGCGCAGTTTGGGTACGTCAACGGCATGGAACACACACATCATGTACTGTTGCGGCGTGTTCGTTTCTCTCCCACTTGTGAGGTTGAGCTTCTCCGGCTTCTTTAGCCCGTCTCATTAAAACCGGCATGCCACCACCTTCGAAGGATTCGTGCCGCCTAACGGGGAAAGGCGCTAGTCATCCGTCAGATGAGAGTCAGGTAGAGAGCTCGTCAGCTCAGTGTGGGGTCAATGATCTCTCCATTTGTGGCTTTGATAACTAAGGTAATAACACACCTGGGAAGGCAGCAGCATGAGATTCGTTTGTTCGTGAGGCCTCACACACACTTAACCCGACACAACTCAAGTCGGCATGTGCATATTAGAACCAACGGAACCAACCACCTACCTAACCCCTGGGGGCAAAAAAGAGACAAACTTGAAGCTAGCGGGCCGACTAATCAGTGCGAAGGGGGACTGTGTTTTAAAGCTTCATCCGATAACTAGGCGTCTCATTCCGTCAGCAGCGTCACCCGCCCACGGAACTCTGTTTCAACCCCGACGACATCTCTACTTCCCCCGTCCGGCCGTTGGACATCATCCCTAAAAAAGTAGAGGTCCGAGCATCACCAACTCAACCCCTTCTACCTAGCGTCCCGACTTCACACACACTTGACAATTTCCGAACGACGTACCTTTCACCTCGTTGCCACTACCGCGAAGCTTCTCTTTCTCTCCCTCCCATCTTCCCCACTCGCCATTCATCTCACCCCAACAACCTCCACCTCATCTCACTTCACCCCGTAGCCATCCTTCCCTCTCATCCCGAATCCTGACGGACGCCGTAAGACTGAAGGGCAGCCACTTGGTTCAGGTTCACCATTGAGACGAGAGTCGGGTGGCCTTGGGGGGCCCCGTCAAGCACATAATCACACACACGATGACCATCCTCTCATCCTCCGGACAGTCAGACCCAGCGGACGCCGCCGCAGGAAGCTCAACAAATCACATCGAGGACAAGCCATACCACTCAAAACGGCCTCACAAGAAGTCCCGGACGGGATGTAAGAACTGCAAGACGCGCAAGGTGAAGTGCGACGAAGCTCGTCCAACATGTCGTAACTGCGTGCTCCGCAAGGCCAATTGCAACTACCCCGGACCGTCCCACTCCCACTCCGACCACCGCCCACCGGGATCGCCATCAGGCTCCTCCGCCGGGCCCTTCTCCCCGGCCCGCTCGCGGTCTCACACGCCGCCGCAGCACCGCCGCAACAGCCACCACGCGGCCGGCGGCGACGACGACGACGCCAACGCCCTCGTCATCAAAGAACCGCTCTACATCCCCGCCGGCGACCGGGACGCCATCGACATGAAGCTCCTCTGGTTCTACACCACAAACACCTTCACATCCTTCGCCACGCAGGCCGGCAGGGTGAAGCGCATCGACGACATCCTCAAAGTCAAGATCCCGAGCCACGCCTTCCAGAGCCCCTTCCTCATGGACTGCCTCCTCGGCACCTCCGCCCTCCAGCTCCAGCACCTCAAACAAGACATCGCACCCTCCCGCGCCCTCCGCTACCGCGCCCGCGCCTTCGAGGGATACCGCAAGGCCATCGAGGAAGGCAAACCGGAAACTTTCCCCGCCCTCATCGCGACTTCCCTGCTGCTCACCGCTCTGTCCTCGCAAATGTTCCGGGAAGAGGGGACAAAGGACCTCTACATCATCGACTGGATGGTCGTCTGGCGCGGCATCGGCCTCATGATCGACATGGCCACGCCGCAGACCCTTTGGGATTCCGGGCTCGCGGAGCTCTTCATGCGCCCGCCCATCAACCTCGACGAGGCGGCCAAGCACATCCCTAATAACCTGCTCTTCATGGTCTCCTCCATCCAGCCAGGCGACCCGGACTACGAAGACATCTCGACGTACTACGATACGCTCAAGTACCTCGGCTCCCTCTACGCCGAGCTCGTCAACGGCTTCGGACCCATCATGACCCTGCGCGTCGTGACGTGGTTCACTTTCATTCCAAAGGGCTTTGTCGAGCTCGGGCGGGAAAAGAGACCCCGGGCGCTTGTGATTTTGGCTCATTACCTCATGTTCATGAAGGCGACGCAGAATCTGTGGTGGATCGAGGGTATTGGCGACCGTGAGATTGCCGGGATTGTGAATTATCTGGGTGAGGGATGGTATGAGCAGCTTGCCACTCCGCGTCTGGCTTTGCTGCTGGACGACCGTACAGATATTGCGCGGCTGATCCTTGGTGATCCGGACTGGGAGTCGCCCATTGACTTTTACAATGCTCCGACGCGGGATCCACGGACGGAGTTGCTCACTTGGGTGGATGATCACGGCAAGCGGTATAAGGGCATGCCGCAACGGGTTGGAGATTTACATCCCGCGGATCCGGCACCAAGGACGTTACCATGGGAAAGAGATGGTTTTCATCATGATCCGATGATGCTCAGCCCCGCGGGGCGGCGGTATGCTGAGAGGGTGCTAGAGGCGATCGACTCGGGAGTTCAGGACATGGATGTATCTTGAACAGGCTGGGAACAGCTTTATTTGGCGAAGGTACGGAAATGGTTTCCGACAGTGTTCGATTGCAATACCCAAATGGTGCAATATGTTTACAGACTATAGCGAATAGTAGAACTATCTTGACCCTGACATTCCAAACATCCCATATAAGCGCATACAAGAAATGGGTCAAGGCCTTGTGATCGGACTTTCAGCAGACACTCGATATTCTTCTCATGTAGAAGGGAGGAAGATTTTGTCGCTGCCGAGACTCCCATTGCAAGAAACATTTGAGTCGACAGATGATTTTCATTCGACAAATACATTTCACGAAGAGCCACCATTCAAAACCCAAATAAAGACTAGGAGAACGGTGAATCAAATGGCAAAAAGGAACAAATTTAGAAAAGGAAAAGATAAATGAAACCCCCGATCAAACAGCTACCACTATCAGCCTCTCGCAGATAACGAGCACATGCAATTTCGATCCAGCTCCCCAAGTCAGCAGGCGCGTTCTCAATGTCGCTTCCAACCGCGAAACGAAAGTGAGAGTGCGTGTGATCCCCAAGAAAATGCCTATTAGCCACGACAAAATACGATATGGAAAGAAGGTCCACTGTTTGGGCCGAATCTTTTCAAACACTTCGGGCAACCGATACTGATATCCCGCATCGCCGGAACGTATGTCCCCGCCTCGGGGTGATCCTTCTTCCTGTGCTTGATGAGATCTTTCTCTCTCGCGTAACCCTTGGCGCCAGTCTTGCTACATCCTCTCACCGTACAGGGGTATTGTGTGAAGTCGTGGGCGTTCTTCATGTGTTTGGTGTATTCCGACTGTGATTCGAATGGCTTGGAGCGGCTTTGCTCTTCGCGACTTAGTGTTTTGAAGTTGTCGTCCCTGTGGTGCAAACAGTCCACAAAGTGGCAGACCGGAGGTGCCTGATACTGCCTCCGACGGCTAGGCATAATGTTTTCGATCTTTCCCTCGGCCTCGAACTTGTGGTAGCCGCGCACATGTTGCAGTAGATGATCTCTTCTTCGAAACCCGTTTTCTCCGCGATGACTTTTGCAGAACGGGCAGGGGAATTTTGGCAGGTCGGTCCCCATAGAGTCAAGATGTCGGTAGAGGACATCAAGTCGAGCGAAGTTCTTGCCACAGGAACAAGCAAAGGGATTGTGTTGTGCTTCGTTGGCGTGCTCCTGCAGCTTGGCCTTGTTCTTGAACTCGACCGAACACTCAACACAAGCGAACGGATGCCCCATTTCAATGCGCTCGTGGCCTTCAAGATGAGGCCGGCGTTGATGAGCGTCACGCTCTCTATTGCTCACGAATCCTTTACCACACCCTTGGACTGGGCACGAAAATGCCTTATGGTTGTGCGACTTAGCATGGTATTCCATGTTCAAGGGGTGTCTGTAATGCACGCCGCACTCCACACAAGTCAGGTCTGCTTCTGCCGCAGTCTTCTCGACTGAAGCAGTAGAAGCTGTCTCCAGGGGCTTCGAACCATTGTGGACTGAAGCGCTGGCCAATGACAATGTCAAATCGTTGCCGTCATCCGGACTGCAATGATGCATGATCTCATCTGCACTAAGACTGTGTTATTTGGAGAGGAGGCACGGGGAATGGAGCGGGGAACTCACGGCCACATCAGACGGTGGGTTGCGATGCCAAAAGACAAACTGACACCCTTTTTGTTAGCAAGTGGTAAAAAAAAAAGTCTCACGGATCCAGGGGGTCCGCAGCGCCAAGAGCGCCATCGTCGACGTGGCTGAAGTCGTAGTAACCAGTAGGATCAAGGAGATCCATGAAGCTGGTGTCATTGGCGTTGTGTTCGGTGTCGAGTTCGGCAAGGAACTTGTCGAAGTCGCTTGTCCAGGCGAGGTTGTCAGACATTGTGGCGTTGGGTGGTTGCTGGGGTGCGTTGAAGCGGCGAGAGAAAATCAGGCTGTGATGGGAGCTGTGTACCGGTGTAGAGTCGCAAAAGAGGTGCAGATGAGTGTTAGTCGAGGAGATCAGAAGGATGGGGAAAGCGCCCTGCTTATCTCGCTCTCAGGAGAGCCTCCTGACAGTCTCTCGCTGCTTTAACGAGAAGACAACAAGTCTGAAGGGCGGTGGAGGTTTGAACCTGGAGACGAGAAGGTGATAGGATGGGGAAGCAAGCCACCTTCCGCCCTATTTGTGTGACGAACAGGAACTGACACCCTATTTCTGTGAGATAAGGAAAGTGAGGCTGTTGGAAGCGGCCATATGCAGGTTGGGCTGGGGTTGCCTTAAGCAGGCGGCATACAAGGAAATTGGGCGAACCAGCAAGCAGCGAGGAAGAGTCGCAAGGTATGGAATGGTATGATGTGTGTATTGAAACAACCAAACTCCAAAGAGCAACAAAACAACATGAAATCGTTCACAGCATTTTCCAAACCAATTGCAAAGCCCCTCGTCCAATCGGAGAATCTTCAACATCAACGAAACAACAAATGATATCAGATAAAAGACAAAAAATGGTAACACACCCGAAACTAGTCCCCCTCTATGCAGTCTTTAGTACAGTATGTACAAAATCCCTCCTCTTACTGCTGCTCAAACAACAGCGACCTGGGGTTACCAAGCAGAATCTTGAAAGTCTCCTCAATCTTATCAAGAAGCTCCGCAGCATGACCCTTCCACGACTCGAAGGTGACAATCTCAATCGTCAACTTGTCGCCCTGGGGGAACGCCTGGATCTTCCACTCGCGAAGCGGCTCCTGCTGCGGGTAGATCGTCTCCATGCGACTGCTCGCCGTCTCGAAGCCGAGGCTCTCGACGTGCTCGACGTCCTGGTGCACCACCGTGTCGAACCAGTCCACCGAGGCGGGCCAGTCGGTGCACAGCTTGGCAATCTCGGGCAGGCCGATGCCTTCGTGCGCCGAGCTGGCAATGTGCTGGTTCTGCACGAGGTTGAGGAGGTCGAGGACCGTCCAGTCGTCCTCGAACTTGACGCGCACGGGCACGTATTGCCAGCAGGGGCCGACGACCATGTCGGCGTTGGGGAAGTCGATGTTGCGACCGCTGACAACTTCGCCAAAGGTGACGTCGCGCGTGCTCTGCAGGCGGGCGAGGGTAAGGGCCCAGGCTGCGGTGGGGAGAGTGGCGATGGTGACGTCTTTAGAGCGGGTTGAAATGTCGAACGTCCTGTCGATGGCGTAGTGCTGTCTCTCCGTCACGGGGGTATCGGGCTTCAGAACATTGACGGAGGATCCTTGGAGGAGCTCCTTCCAGTAGTCGACGCTCTGGGGGATGTTGGACTTGACAACGTGGCCAACGAAGGAGGAGAAGGGGAGAGCCTTGGGAACGGGCTTGCCCTCATGCAGAGCTGAAAGCTGGTGCAGCATGATGGGAAGGCAAATCTCATCGTACTGAGCGTGCGAGACACGGAACACTAGGGCAGACTGGCCATTGCTGCTGTGGACGAAGAACCACTTGACAAAGATGGAGCCAAGCGGCATCCGGGTCTGGACGTCCATGTTGCAGAGGTCCTTGACAAAGGTCTCAACGTCGCTGTCGATCTCATACTCGACGACGGGGGTCTTGACGTCTTCGAGGATAACGCTCAGGCAAGCGCCGTTGTGCTTGACAAAGACTGATCGCAGCACCTCGTTGAGAGAGACAAGCTCCTGACAGCTCTGGAAGAGACGAGGGCGGTCGACATCGCTCTCGAAGTACATGGCCTCGTAACGAGCAGAGAAGCGAGGAATCTCAATCGTACCCTTGACGGCGACCTCCTGCAACGGTCTTGCGGGGAAGGCGTCGACAATCTTCCATGTCGGGTCGGCCAACAGGGGGCGGAGAGTCTCTGCCGGGGCATCGCCGAGGTCCTCAACCAGCTCAAAGGGAACGAGAGGCTTCAGGGACTCTTGAGAGTCCTGAGTGGGCTCAGAGTCCTGCAGGACGCTGGCCATGTCGTACAGCGTCCTCTTCGTGAAGACCTGGTTGACGGTAAGTGTGAGGCCAGCCAAGCGGGCCTCAGAGACGAGCTTCATGGCACCGATGGAATCTCCACCAAGGCGGAAGAAGCTGTCGTTGAGGCCGATATCGCTCTCGGGGAGCCTGAGTACACGGCTCCAGAGAGTTCGCAGACGACGCTGCTTGGCAGATGTGGCAGAGATGCGCTTAGTAGGCGCCTTGATAGCCGTGCTGGCCTTTTGGACCAGATCGCTCGTCTTGCCGGTGATCTCAATAGATCCATCTGCGTTGAATTTGGCGAGGCGCTCCGTCTTATAGAATTTGCCAGCCTCCTTGTTCTCGGCCCACGAAGGGTTCTCCAGCGTGGAGAGAGACAAGTCGGACTTGCTGATGACCACCAATTCACCAACAACTCCAAGAGGTGCCAGAAGCGCAGAGTCGGTTGGGTTAACAATGTACACCGCCTCGGCCTCCGGGTACTCCTTCTGAACGCTCTTGACGCTCTCGGTGCTCAAGCGAGCGACCTCGGTCTTGTCCTCCTCAGTCAGGTACGCGATGTCGCCAAGTGGCGTGTCGGTAAGCTGGCAAAGCTTCTGCGCCACTTGAGAGAACTGAGCGAGTGCCTTCTCCATGAGAGGCTTCTGAACAGTCTTTGAGTCGAACGAGGCCATCACCAAGAAGCCCTTGGGGTCTGTCGAGCAGACGAGCATGAGGGCGTAGGTGTTGAACTTGAGAGCTTCCTCCGCGGCCTCCGCGTCGCCAGCGGGGACGAGGCGGTTGGCGGGGTACTTATTGAACTCTTCCTGGTCAAAGTCGTCCGCGCTCGGGTGCAGAACGAGGCCGGTTCTCAGCTCGCAGGCCTCGAGGGCATCCGGGCTGAGACGGCGGATGTGCTGGAGACCGGTGTGCTCATACGGGATCTGTTGGATGGTCTGGTCTTGGATGTCTTGGAGGTAGTCGCTGACGAGCGTCTCGGCGTTGACCTGGGTGCGGAAAGGGACGGTCGTGATCATGGGGCCCTCGATTTCGTCGGAACCTCTGATGGGCGCGTTGCGGCCGGTGAGGGTCTCGCCAAAGATGACATCGTTGGACGAGGCGTAGTGGGATGCCACGTAGGCCCAGGCACCGCGAATCACGGTGGCGACGGTGGTGTTGGAGGCAGGTCTGCCGTTCAGGGGCACGTAGACCTCCAGAAGAGAGTCGGCCTGCGTCTGGTAGCCCTCGTACGGTAGCGCGGGGAACTGCGTAGTGGCAGCGGCACCCTGGAGCTGTTCGCGCCAGTATGTCTCGGCGGCGCTGCGGTCCATGCTGCCGAGGTACTTGATGAAGTCCTTGAACTCGGCCGGGCGCTGGACCTTTTGTCCGTCAAAGGCCTTGTTGACCTTGTCGACGATGAGGGGCATGCACCAGCCGTCGTACAGGGCGTGGTGCATCGTCAGCACGAACTGCACCTTGCCCGACGCGTTGTCCGTGACGAGGGCGTAGCGGACGAGAGGTCTGCCGAGGTCCATGCCCTCCTCGCGGTCCTTGACGAGGTAGCCCTGGAGATCATCGCCAATGTGCCAGGCAATGTCTTCCTTGACGACGACCTGTGCGAGGCCGCGGCCGGGCACCTGGACGATTCTCGTGCGGAGGATGGCGCAGTCTGCGGCGGCGACGTCAAAGGCGTTGCGGAGCTTGTCTGCTGTCGCCGCGTCCGCGAGGTCGACGACTCTCTGCGCGACGTACGCCGAGGTGACCTTGGCCGACAGAGCCATGAGACCCTCTTGGAGGGGCGTGCAGGGGTAAATGTCCTCGATGGCGGACTCGTCGATACCGCAGAGCTTGGCGGACTCGGCGCGGGCCTCCTCGGGGGTCCATCCTTCCTCGAGGAGGGAGAAGGGCGCGACGGCGGCGTCGTCTTCCTTGGACACCTTGGTCGCGTTCTCAGCCATGGCCTTGAGCGTGGGGAAGTTGAAGATGGTTGCGACAGTCAGAGCAATGCCGTCCTCTCTCGCGGCAGCGACGAGCTTCATGGCGCGGAGAGAGTCTCCGCCGAGGGCGAAGAAGCTGTCGTGCAGACCGATGGCGGCGGCGGACTCGCTGCCCAGAATCTTGATCCAGACCTGCTGCAGCGCCTTCTCCATCTCCGTCTCAGGCTCCGATTTCTCGGTGGGCGCGACGCGCAGGCGGGCGACCTGCTCGCGGGACATGGAACCTCCGAGCTCGCGCAGGCGCTTGCGGTCGATCTTCCCCGAGACCAGGGAGGGCATCTTGCGGAGGGGGATGTAGGCCGAGGGGACCATGTAGCGGGGGATCTCGGCGCCGAGGGCAATGTCGATCTCGGCGATGGCCTGGCTGAACTCGGGGGAGAAGGTGGTGACGTCGCCGACCTCGGCATCTGCAGGGCCGTCAACGGGGTTCTGCTCGACGACAAAGGCGACGAGCGTCGGCTCGCTACCGCCGGGCTTGATGACCTCGGCGACAATCTTGACGCCCGAGGGCATCTTGCCCCGGAGGTGGTGCTCGACCTCGGCCAGCTCGATGCGCTGACCGCGGAGTTTGACCTGCTGGTCCTTGCGGCCGACAAAGGCAATGGAGCCCGTGCCGTCCGGGTCGTAGCGGACCAGGTCGCCCGTCTTGTACAGGCGTCCGTGTCTGCCGCGGGCGGGACCGCCGCCGGCGAGCAGCCAGGCCGGGTCCTCGATGAAGACCTCGTCCGTCTTGGCCTTGTCGTTGAGGTAGCCCATGCCAACGACGGGGCCCTCGATGAGAAGCTCGCCGACGGCGCCGACGGGCATGAGGCGCTCGTGGTCGTCCGGGTCGACGATCCAGGTGAGGCCGCCGGTGCCCTTGCCGATGTTGGTTGAGGTGCTGCTGACGTTGCCGTTGATTGTGCAGCCGACGGTGCACTCTGAGGGTCCGTAGGCGATGATGACGCTCGTGGTCTTGCTCCACGTCGAGGCGTCACCCGC